GTGTACTTTTACTTACTGTAACTGTAAACTGATTACGTCTTTCTCTCTTTAACTGTAGTGATTACAGTTACCTTTTTTGTATCCTTTTTTTTTTTTAAGTTTTTTTTTTGGCCTTTTTGTTAGCTTTATTTTCGTAGAGACAGCTGTAGAGAGACAGGAAAGGTGGGCGGAGAGAGAGCGTGTGACACGCAGCAAGGGGCTGCAGGTCGGATTTGAGCCCGGGCCGCTGCAGCAGCTCCGTATAAGGGTCGCCAAACTTTACTTGTGCTGCAGTTTGTGCTGCTGTGGATGATTTATTGTAACTCATTATTATTTCTGAATCATTATTTTCCTCCTGTCTTTGTGTGTGTGTGCAGGTTCTTCCTCAAGTTCTTCCTCAAGTGTAACCAGAACTGTCTGAAGAACGCTGGAAACCCACGAGACATGAGGAGGTTTCAGGTAATAAACACACATCTGTGATTCTGTACTTGTGAGGACCCTCACTGACATAATGGATCCCCAAACCCTAAACCTTAAAACCAGGTCCGGACCCTCAGACCGGCCTGTGAAAGTCTGTTGAAGGGAGGACCGACCGAAATGTCCTCACCGTCTAAAAAAGTCCAAAACTCGAGCTGCTGCTCACACATCACACACACACACACACACACACACACACACACACACACACACACAGATGAATTCATTTCCCCAAAGGGCAGGACATAGCTTTGGAGGACCTGCGTTAACCAGAATGCATTGCAGAGGGCCGGCCCAAGGCTTATTGCTTTGCAGATATAATATGAGAGGTCAACAGGGAACTGTCGCTCTGCCTGCCTGTCTGTCTGTCTGTCTGTCTGTCTGTCTCACCTTCCCTCCTGTCTTTTATTTTGTTAAACACAGGAAGTGCTTTTGTGTCTCTGATCCTCACAAAGGAAATAATTTCATTTATATTCTGAAACAAATCAGGATTCAGACTTTTCATTAAAGATTCCTGACATTTACCAATACCTAATAAGTAATTAAAGTCCAGAGTAATCAATGAATAATGAGTTCATATTAACTTAAATAATAACTTTAATTTTATACAAATAAAACTGAACTCAATAATGAGGAAATAACAGAGCGAGAAGAGAGAATATCAACTTATCAAGAATTTTATATTAATGATTTTATATAAACTTAGCACAAAAAGTACGGAAATTTGTGTTTGGTAGATTATTTCTCTGTGGTAACAATGCTTTTTGGCAATAAATCTTATACCGTTGCAAAGCCTGTTTAGTTCCCTTTCAAATGGTGCCCCATTTGTAAGGAACATGCATTTGTGCGATGAGCAGAAGAGCTGAGTATGTGGGTTGCGCCCATAAAAAATTTGCCAAATCTTCTCTGCCAATGCCAAACAGCTTATTCTGTCATTGACTCGTTTGGTGTTTGGTGGATTGGATGATTGAAGTTTGAAGAAACAAGACATATAGGCAATTTAAGAATTTATTCATTTCACAAACAGGAGCCTCAGTAGCGTGTGGAAGAACCATACACAGCCACAACAGCCTGGCACCTCCTCCTCATGCTGGTCACCAGCCTGGTCACACACTGCTGTGGGATGGCATTCCATTCTTCAACCAGCATTTGTCGCAAGTCAGCCAACGTGGTTGTGTCGGTCACTCTGGCACGAACAGCACGGGGTTGAGGTCAGGACTGCTGGCAGGCCATTCCATCCTCTCCACTCCCACATTCTGGAGGTAGTCTCTGATAAACCCTGCCCTGTGGGGGCGAGCGTTGTCATCTTGGAGGATAGAGTTCGGTCCCAGACTGTGGAGATATGGGATTGCCACTGGTTGCAGAATCTCATCTCTATATCTCTGCATTGGATTGCTTCCAATGATGACAAGCCTGTTTTCCAGTGAGGGAGATGCTGCCCACACCATCACACTGCCTCCACCAAAGATGTTATTCTTGTGCAGCAATCAGCATAGCATTCTCCGCTCTTCTCCACACTTTGACCCTACGATCCAACTGCCATAGGCAGAATCTGGACTCATCACAGAACATAACGTTACTCCACATGTTGTTCCGTGCACTGTTGCACACCACGCAAAGGCTGTGGTGAAGGGCAGTCATGGCAGGACTCCTGGCAACCCTATGAGACCGGAGATTGGCTGCGTGTAGTCTGTTCCGGATTGTCTGGGCAGAGAGCCATCGGCCATATCGTTCTGCAAACCCTCACTGCAAATCTGTAGAAGACAGCCTACGGCACCTAAGTGCTGACCGGGTGAGGAAATGGTCTTCTTGGGGTGTCGTCTTCTTGCGATGCCCACTTTGCGGCCCTTTCTTTGACATCCCCCGTTATATGGAACTTGGCCTTCAGTTTTGGAGATGGTACTCGAAATAATGCCGCAACTTGGTTTTGCGGAACACTAGCTTGAAGTTGCCCTATCACAAGGGCCCTATCCAGATCAGTCAAACGCGGCATGCCGATTCTTGGAGCACACACTTACTGACTGTAGGTGTACTTACAGTAGTAGGGCCCATGCTCACAGGTGGTACCTTACCTGGGGGTAAATGGTAATGGATGGTAAATGGACCTGTACTTGTATAGCGCCTCTCTAGTCTTCCGACCACTCAAAGCGCTTTTACACTACGTGCCACATTCACCCTTTCACACACATTCACACACATTCACACAGTGATGGCAAAGTCCATCGAACAGAAACTAACATTCATACACATTTGCACACTGATGCACGGCATCGGGAGCAATTTGGGGTTCAGTATCTTGCTCAAGGATACTTCGACATTTGGCACCAGGAGCCGGAGATCGAACCCACAATCTTCCGATTAAGGAACGACCTGCTCTGCCTCTGAGCCACAACAAGTGTCAATAGCAACAGCAAAATAATCTGTTTGGCAATGGCAGAAAAGATTTGACACATTTTTCATGGGCGCAACCCACATACTCAGCTCTTCTGCTCATCCCACAAATGGATGTTCCTTACAAATGGGGCACCATTTGAAAGGGAAGTAAACAGGCTTTCCAACGGTATAAGATTTATTGCCAAAAAGCATTGTTACCACAGAGAAATAATCTACCAGACACAAATTTCCTTACTTTTTGTAAAGGTAATATAACTAAAACAAATGTTGAAACAGATTACGTCAAACATTTTAGGTAAAACTAACTCCATTTTATAAGTGAAAAAAGTAACATTCTTGATCAAGTAGTTAGTTTTCGCTGTTTTGGAACCTCTTATTTGAATTGTAAAAACAAAACACCCAATAAAAAGTACTTAATCAAGAACTTACAAAACTAAATTTGTGCGACTTAAAATTACGAATAAAAGCTGTTTCATCAAGAATTTGTTTTAATTTAAAAAATGTAGTTTGCGTTATTTAAAATGTTTGATGTGATCAGTTTCTGCCATTCATTTGTGTTAAAATAACTTATTACAGTCTGTGTAGACTCTAAACACTACTTACAACCATATGAATGAATTAACTGACATAAACAAAGCGTGTAGGATTTAGTGGTCTCTAGTGGTGAAGTTGCAGATTGCAACCACCACGCCTCACCCTCCGTTCCAAGCGTATATCTATCTTCATCAGTGGTGTTTTGTCCCTTCAGCACAATAATTATCTCCCGTTGTGTGACAAGATTATAAATGGTTCATTATGTCACATTGGGATGGAAGACGAGAAGGGAGAAACATTTAAAGTCGATATTTACTTTAAACTTAATAAATAATGTGGCACTAATTGTCTTCTGTACATTAATCAGTCACAGTGTTAACCTCGAGCGTTCATACAGATTAACAGCTGACACTTTAAATAATTCATTCACTCATTAATTCATTAAACTTCACAACATGAATCAGCCACCAGATTATCGGTCTGTGATTGATCCTCTCACTATTGATCAGCCCTGTTATCCCTTTAAAGACAGTAAGGAGGAGGAGGAGGAGGAGGAGGATAAAGAATAAAGGAAGAAACAATAGGAAATTAAAGTAAGACAAAATGAACAAGAAAAACATAAAGGAAAAAGAAGGAAAAAGAAAACAGCAGTTTGAACAAGTGATGAAGAAAAGGAAGCTGTAGGCACAAAGGCTAACATTAGCAAATTAGCAGTAAAAACACAAAGTAGAGCTGAGGCTGATGGGAATGTCTGTAGTTCTGCAGGTCAGACAGACAGAGAGGCAGACAGACAGGCAGACAGACAGTCAGTGTGGCTAAAGGAGAGGAGACATGTTGTTAGAGGATACTCTGCTCTTTGTCTCACAGTTTCCACTCACACACACACACACACACACACATAAAAACACAAACACACACACACACACACACACACACACACACACACCTCTCTCCACGCTGCGCTGGGTGAGCTGACAGGATGTTAAGTCCAGTTAAACCAGGAGAGGAGGGAGGGAGGGAGACAGGGCGAGCGAGCCTCAGAGAGCATGTAGAGAGAGGGAGAGGGAGAGAGAGAGAGGAGTCAGATCACTGAGACAGGTGAAGTCAGGTGAAGCGTCCGGACTTGTCTGTGGTTTTCGTGGCGACAGCAGGGTGAAGGATGTGCCGGTTAGTCACTGTGGCGACAGAGAGGACACCTCTACTCGCTCTCTGTGCGACCTTCTGCTCCGTCGCCATGGATCAACGGCAACAACCTCGCCACGGCAACCAGCCAGGGATGATGAATGAGTCCGGAGAGAGGCTGTGACATCACACGGGGGGGGCGGGGCTAGGGCGGACAGCACGCCAACGGCTGTTCTTGCAAATATCTTTAAATATATTCTTTCATTTCCAGTTTTTATTTATTGAATTGTTGATTTTCAAGGTGTTTTCTACATTTTTCAGCTCATGTATATTGATTATATTAAAGATATATGATGGAATTCACATTTACAATAATATTCAGATTTGATTTTAAATGCAAAAATTACCTCATTCATCTTCATGTTTAATCATTTTGATTTTAATTTATACTCATTTAGACTCATGTCCCTATTACAATGCATGCTGGGAAAGGTTCCATCCTCATGTTGAACCATGTTTGTCCACTTCAGATCAGGTGTATTGTTCTGTGGGTTATAAATAAAATTGTGTGTGTGTCTGCAGGTGGTGGTGTCTACGACTGTGAACGTAGACGGCCATGTTCTCGCCGTCTCTGACAACATGTTCGTACACAACAACTCCAAACATGGCCGCAGAGCCCGGAGACTGGACCCGTCTGAAGGTAGGCAGCTGCCTGTCCTCTAATGTCCACGACAGGCTGCAGTGATAAAACTACAATGTCCAGAAACCAAAGGGGACCCAGTACAGAACCCTGAGGAACTCCAGATTTTATCTCTGGAAAATTAAACGGAGACAGCAGAAACCAGTTTGAGGAACGTTTGATATCAACAGACACTTAACCTGGTAGGAGGTGGCGGGATGGACTTAAACTTAAACCGCTGTTCATGTCCCAAAAAACAAAAGTTTGTTAAAGTAAAGTATGTACGTTTTACTCTTGTACTTTCTACAAGTTTTTAACTTTACATAAGCAAACAAAACCGTTACCCACGGACGGCTCCGAATTCTCAACTCTCTCATTTTATAGAGAGTCTTCATTGTTTCATCAATATCACTACCCTCATTTTTGATTTTACGACGCTATGATGCTAATGATATCCAGATCCTGCAGACTTTCCGCTCTGATCAATCAGTCTGATCAATCAATCTGATCAGTCAGTCTGAATGCAGTCGCTACATAAAAGCATCCGAACCAGGGAACCTGAACATCCAGCGAGGGAGGCAGAGAACGGAGCGTAATTTGGTCTTTGAAGAGAAGTCACCCCAGTGGCTTGTGGGTAGGAAGACCAGACGCCTCACCGTCCCCAGAGAGGACAGCGTGTGTGTGTGTGTCTTTTCGCGGGCCGTTCAACCTCTTTAATTGCCCTCCTAATTAAAGACGGTAACCATAGAAACCACCCCTCCCAATCAGAGCGCAGTCCCGTGGGTTTGAACCCTCGTTCTCATTTTACTGTTTCTGCCTGAGTCTCTGTCTGCAGCAGCACTCTGCTTCCTACCACAGATACAGTCCACCAGCTTACAGTCTTTGTCCTCAGAGTGGACTGAACCCATTTAGACCTCTAACCTTCAGTCTCTAATCTGGAGTCTTCAAATTGTGGTTTTCAGCAACAGGACTTAGAGTAATCCCAGAGTCTGTCTGCTCTCTGAACAAGGTTTCATCATTAACAACGAGCACATCATGTTTAATTAGGAAAACACACAAAGGGCAACCATTTACAGCATACTGCCAATTAGCTGATAATGATCCTGATCAGCCAGCATCAGTAATCAATAACATTATTAAAGCATTAATCCAACTAATAACGTCAGACTACATTATTAGACATTTACACTGCCTTAGTGAATGTGTAAGTGTTGTTAAGTTGTAACTCTGTGGTGCAAACACTTTTATTTTAGTAATTCATAAATCCCAATTTATAATAATTTATGTTATAACGACTTTGGACTTCAATCTGCTAAAGTTCTTTTCACTCTACAGTTTAATGAATGTGTTGTACCCTTTAACAGATAGGACTCCGTCTTCTGTTTGGCAGCTTTATTCTCTCTGGTGCTCTATTTTGTTTTTACCAGGAAGAAAATGAATGCAAATTTTCACTTTGAGCTTCCTATCTAGATTTGTACATTAAACAATGTGCAGATACAAAGTACTTGTACGAGGGCACGCTGTCAATGGATTTACCATCAGATGTGAAAATACTAAAATCAGCTGTAAGCAAGCTTTAGTGAAGACCATGAACTCTTTTCTGAGCACTTAAAACCAATTTTAGACTCAGCAGAGCCATTTGTAATGACTCACTCCGCCTGCACTATAGAGGAAGCATGTGTATAAATTACTGTGTTGTCAGCATAGAAGTGTATTTTTGCTCGTATGTCCTTACCAAAATCAACCGGCACTCACACACAAGTAGAGCAACACCAAACTCAACCACAATGATTGCGTCATAAATGCACGCAGACTGATGATGTAATCAGCTGTATCAGCACCAGTAGAGATAAAAACAACAGAATCCCCTAAAAAGAAATTTAAATAACGTAGAAGATGAAGTAAGGGTATTTCCTCCTGTAAAAACAAGATCTATCATGTTTTATGACTGTTTTAAAGTTTCTGGGTTGCAACAAATTAACTTCCTCACACACGGGGTTATATTTTACACACAGTGTGCACAGGTGGTTTTCATCAGCTTTACACTGAAATCTGTGAATCTGCTCGTACAAACCCACTGTAAGAAACAAAGGTCAGAGAAAGTTAAGATTAGAAAATGTTCTTGCATGAGGCCCGTTTTGTTTGTTGCTTTATTGCTCTGATGTTCTTATCTGCTTTTCTTGGACATAAAACATGCTGCTGCAGGTGATTTGTGTGTGTTTAGAGTCGACAGAAGGGAAGTGGAGAGCTTGTAGTGAAGCCAGAATCCTACTGTTCAATCAGGAGGTATTAGGACTAGATATTGAAGATACAGAATCTGTGAATATTGTGAGTTAAATCATGACAGATAAACTCCTGAGACTGTTTTTTTTTTTTTGGTTATTGGTATATCAGGCGGCAAGTGAACATTTTGTCCTCAGAGTTGATGCGTTAGAAGCAGGAAAAATGGGCAGCGTGATAGACGACTGGATTAGAGCATCTCCAAACCTACAGCTCTTGTGGGGGGTTCCCGGTCTGCAATGGTCAGTACCTATCAAAAGTGGTCCAAGGAAGGAACAGAACCAGAGACAGGGTCATGGGGGGCCGAGGCTCATTGATGCAGGTGGGGAGTGAAGGCTGGCCCGTGAAGTACGGTCCAACAGACGAGCTACTGTAGCTCAAACTGCTGAAACAGTTAATGCTGGTTCTGATAGAAAGGGGTCAGAACACACAGTGCAGAGCAGTCTGTTGGTCTGGGACCAGTCAGTGAGTCCAGTGCTCATAATGCTGATCAGTGTGTGTATTTGGCTGTTAGATGGTGGAGGGTTAGCATACTGAAATGTTTGTTTTCTTGTTAGTTAATGTGTCTGGATAATCTATGATGGATCTTTATTCTTCATTTAGTATTATTATTTACAGTGTTCATTCAGCTCTGCTGTCCGGCTGAGTTCCTACAGAAACTAACCAGTCAGTAATAGAAGAGAATAGAGGCCAGGTGCTGTAATGTCAGTAAGTCTGAGTGAGATTAACACACACACACACACACACGCACACACACGCACACGCACACGCACACGCACACGCACACATACACACACACACTCACACTCTGTGCTTTCATTTCACTTTATAATTAATCTGCAGCCGCACTTGAAAGAAGAGAGAGAAAGTAGTCATTACCGGCTGAGTGAGTGTGAGTGTGTGATTGTGTGTGTGTGTGTGTGAGACTTAAAGCGGATAAAAGCCGCGACCCAATTAAATCTCATCCTCATGTGTGTGTGTGTGTGTGTGTGTGTGTGTGTGTGTGTGTGACCTTCAGTAGTTTACAGTGGTGTTAAAGTGGTGTCCAACCTGTGGGTCGGGACCCTCACCTTTACAGACATTAAACAAAGATTACATTTAAATCTACTGAAACACTCAGTAATCAGAGTAAACACTTTAATTTCACTCACAGAGCTCATAGATTATGATCCCACGCTGCAATCAATGGGAAATATTCATTTACTACACTCAGTGTTTTATTCCAGCTAGATCAGAGATACTCTCATCACAGCCCAATGAGGCCTCAGTGCCGATAATAAGAGAACAACAACTTTATTTATACATGCATGAGACGCAGCTGAGAGTGCTTTACAGTGCAGCATTAAAAACAAAACACAATAAATCAATGTTATTAATAACAGAACATAATAGTATTAGATAAAATCCATACACAGTGAGACTGAATAAAAAGGTAAGGGACAGCAGTAAAACAGATAAAAAGCGATAGAGAGCAGGAGAGTCTGAATATGGACAGTAACCAAGTAGCTAAAAGCCTCCCTCATGTTTCGGGCAACTTTGGGAACAGAACCAGAATCAGAGCTGGCTGAGATGTAAAAAGGTGTTATTATATATCATTAAGAACTCTGAGTTAATCAAACGTAAATCAGTTATGTAAAGGAACATGAAGTCAGTGCAGTGATGTGTTCACAGACAGCAGAGCTCTGTACGAGCTGAAGCACGATCATCTGCACTGCTCTGTTCAGACTTTAACAACATTCAGGTGGAAGGATGCTGTGTGTCCCTCCAGATAACCTCAGATCTGTTCAGACGTGTTTCTCTCTTGTGTTTAGTTTCTCTGTTCAGTCTTCAGTGAGAGCTGTTCCTCACTGCCCCCCCAGACTGACCTCGACTGGGACTTTAGTTTCTTTGGGGCAGCGGTTCTCACCCTTTTCCTAAAGGGACCACTTTTCTATCACTGAGTAAACTAAGTGACATATTTTATGGATATTTTATATTGTAAACAATGAACCCAAACAGTGAACTCAATAACTGCAGGAAGTTTGATTCTTTCCTGTGAATATTGATCAGAGATGTGTTTTCCTGATATTTGGATATATTCTCTGTCTGTATTCTGTATTTTTATCATTTTAACAATCAGAATACTTAAACAAACAATAGCCATATATTTCCTTACAGACGTGAAACACATGCAGAATTTAGGCCCTAATGATGCAGAATCTGTCATAGACGGCGTTTCACATCCTGTATAAAGTCTCTCCTCTCTCAGTAACTCTTAAATCGTGTGTTTTTTTAATGGAGTCTGGTGATATTGTGGTTATCTCAGCAGAGATACGTAACGAGATGCTAACACCTGTCTCTCTCTCTCTGTCTGTCTGTCTGTTTGTCTGTCTGTGTCTCTCGTCCAGCAGCCACTCCCTGCATTAAGGCCATCAGTCCCAGCGAGGGTTGGACGACGGGGGGCGCGACCGTCATCCTGATCGGAGACAACTTCTTCGACGGCCTGCAGGTCGTCTTTGGCACCATGTTGGTGTGGAGTGAGGTAACGCACACCCAATCCATAATCAATCATCAATCAGTGCTAGGTCTGGGTACCGAACTTCAGCTGAGAGTCTAATGCGTTGTTAGAGCTAGGGTAGACAGTGAGAGGTCTGTCTCAGACAGTATTACCCAGTGAGCCATTGTACCATAATGTATAATGTATATAATGTATTTTATATTGTTCAGGAACCGGTATCAAAGTCCAACAGCAGCCCCAAACAACGGCCACTGGTCCAGCTCTTATAACAGACTGTCTGTCTCACTCACTCTCTCTCTGTCTGTCTCTCTGTCCAGCTGATCACCCCTCATGCTATCCGGGTCCAGACTCCTCCCCGTCACATCCCCGGGGTCGTCGAGGTCACGCTGTCCTACAAGTCCAAACAGTTCTGTAAAGGAGCACCGGGACGTTTCGTTTACACAGGTGACAACCGCACTCTGATTGGCCGAGCTCACAGACAACCAATATAGTCTGTTTGCAGACCACTGTGAACCAGGACTGTTGAGTACAGAGTTTCCTGTGGACAATCTAGGAGTGGTTATGGGGGTTATTGAGGACGCTGAATGCTCGGGACCCATACTGTACATTTCTAACATAAAACATTTCAGGTTGCTGACAGCTAACGAGAGTAAATCAGTCACAGTTGACTGTGATACTACGACTGAATACTATAACTGCTCTTCATATAGTTGACTTATGTCACACAGGAGCTCCGCCCACGTTGACCAGAGACACTAAATATACCACAAAAAGCATGACGCAGCAGTTTTAAGGAACTATTCCAGCTGGTTTCACCCAAAAGGGGTCGTCCTGAAGACAGGAAGTGACGTACGGTTTGGAGGACATTTCCTCCCTCCGTCTTTCCCTCTGCAGCAGATCAGTGGAGGTGTTTGATTTCACACTGCTGTCAGAGTAATTACACACATTTAAATCCCATTAACCCTCACACGCAGCCTGTGGACCTTCCTGTTAATGACCTCTGAGCGGACACACACACACAGCCCTGTGACGTCATCAGTCACATGACCTTCTCTTTCATACAGCAGCTGCTTTCACACCTCAGTGCTTCAGAGCGGTTCGTCCCGCTCACCTCCACCCTGCGACTCGCTGCTCCCAGCATGCACCACTCCTTCCACACAGCAGATAACAGAGGCACAGAACTAAATACGACTAAACAAAAATGTAAAGTTGGTCAACTCGTCTAAAAGTAAAAAAGTGCTTGGAAAACAGCGGAGATGAAACATGTTGGGATGCTCCTGAATGGACAACAGCTTAGCCAACCGTTAGTTAGGTTAGCTGTGCAGCTAAGCTAACTGACTCAGCATAAAACACTCAGTAAATGTATTCAGTTACTTGTGCAGTCAGACTCAGCGCTGATCTCTACGACTGCACTTGAACACATCGCACTGGGCGGGGTCATCTCTCTGATGACATCACACAGCGAGCAGATAAAATGTGTTAATACGAGTTGTCAAGCAGACAGACAGCTCCATGAAATTTCAATGAGCATCGATCGGAGAGTATTGATCGTTCCAAGGCCTCCTGTCTGACCCCCCCCCACACACACATACACACGCAGACACACGCTGTCTGTCTCTCCTCTAATCTGTATTGACTTTCTGTACTGTAGACAGTGACTCCCTGTCTGTCTGTCTGTCTGTCTGTCTGATACTCGACTATCAGCAGTGAAATTTTTCATTGATGCAGAAAATGAAATAATGTTTATTTTCTATGAAGTAAAATGTATTAATCCATAAAAACCTGCAGGTTTTGAGGAACTTTGAGCTGCAACAAATATTAAAGAAATATGATAAAAATGTCAATATGGCCGAGGGTTAGGGTTATGTAATGTAAATTACAGACTGAAGGAGAACTTTCATTCCCACTCATCATATGTGACAAAATATCAGTCAGAATAATCACAGTATAATGTTTTTACCATATCTGCAGCTCCAGTTGGACTTTATGATCGATACATATAGATCCAGATTATTAACAGAGAATATAACAGAGTCAGTCCTGTTGACTGAAGCTGTCACTGACATATAAAGTGTCTCATTATGGAGCTCAAATTGTTTCTCATATTTAGGAAGAATATTGGATTCTGGTAACCAAACGGCCTTTTCTCACTTACGTAACATTACAAGAATCCGACACATCCTGTGACAGACGGATGCAGAACAACTGGGGTTGGCTGGATTACTGGAACTCCTTATTATCAGCCGATTACGCAACCAGACGGGGCTCAGCAGCCTCCCAGTGAACACAACCTCCGAGACAGACGGAGGACAGACGGAGGACAGACAGAGGACAGACGGAGGACAGACAGAGGACAGACAGAGGACAGACAGAGGACAGACAGACAGAGGACAGACGGAGGACAGACAGAGGACAGACGGAGGACAGACGGAGGACAGACAGAGGACAGACGGAGGACAGACGGAAGACAGACGGAGGACAGACGGAGGACAGACAGAGGACAGACAGACAGAGGACAGACGGAGGACAGACAGAGGACAGACGGAGGACAGACGGAGGACAGACAGAGGACAGACAGACGACAGACGGACGACAGACAGAGGACAGACAGACGACAGACAGAGGACAGACGGAAGACAGACGGAGGACAGACAGACGACAGACGGAGGACAGACAGAGGACAGACAGAGGACGGACGGAAGAAAGACAGAGGACAGACGGAGGACAGACGGAAGACAGACAGAGGACAGACGGAAGACAGACGGAGGACAGACAGAGGACAGACGGAAGACAGACGGAGGACAGACGGAGGACAGACAGAGGACAGACGGACGACAGACAGAGGACAGACAGAGGACAGACAGACGACAGACAGAGGACAGACGGAAGACAGACGGAGGACAGACAGACGACAGACAGAGGACAGACGGAAGACAGACAGAGGACAGACGGAGGACAGACGGAAGACAGACAGAGGACAGACGGAAGACAGACGGAGGACAGACAGACGACAGACGGAGGACAGACGGAGGACAGACGGAGGACAGACAGACGACAGACAGAGGACAGACAGAGGACAGACGGAGGACAGACAGAGGACAGACGGAAGACAGACGGAGGACAGACAGAGGACAGACAGAGGACAGACGGAGGACAGACAGACGACAGACGGAGGACAGACGGAGGACAGACGGAGGACAGACAGACGACAGACAGAGGACAGACAGAGGACAGACGGAGGACAGACAGAGGACAGACAGAGGACAGACAGAGGACAGACAGAGGACAGACAGAGGACAGACGGAGGACAGACAGAGGACAGACGGAAGACAGCGGTAGCGACGTGATTTACTGGACTTGTTGCTAAAAGATGCTATCGCTAACCGTAATGTTAGATGCTGTTAGCTAGTTAGCTCTTGCAGCTAACGTTAGCTGCCTTAGCCCAGGGTGGCAATAAAACCACCTCAGCATCAGACGCTGCATTCAGTCCCAGTCTGGACCTGCTGTTCACTGGGAGCTCCCAGTCCGACAGAGACCGCTGCTGGGACGTTCTAAATATGTAAAGAGGAAGAAAACGATGATGAGTTCTGTTTCATGTGCACTTTAAGGACTAAATGAAAGACACTGAAGATCAGTTTAAGTTTGATCCATAAAGACTGTTTACAGACAGACAGACAGACAGACAGACACACAGGTGATAATAAACTGTCTACCAACACAAGGTCACACACACACACACACACACACACACACACAGAGCAGGCTGTAGATAACACAGACATCTGGAGAGCTAACACACTCTTCTAACTGCTGCCTGTTCCGCCCTGTGAGCCTTCAAGGACTGAACACACACACTCACACTCTGTTTGTGATGTATAGAGTCAGTCTAAAGCTTGTTAAACGCAGCTCAACCAAGACGGGATTATGATTCATGCACTACACACACACACACACACACACACACACTCTGTGCTCTGCTGCGTTCACTGACGCTCTGATTTATCGCCTCCCCACCGGTTTGCACTATAAATGATGTGAGAGGAGAAGAAGAAGAAGAAGTGTGTCAGACTGAAAGTGACCAATCAGAGATCAGAGTGGTTGACTTCCTCATTGGTGTTTTTTGGGGGGAAATCTTGCGGGATTGTTGTTGTTGCTAAGCAACAGGACTTTAATGATGTTCCACCGACTGTTATGTGTCTTTGTTCTCCAGATGAAACCAGTAAAGTGACCAGTTACACACAGGAAACCAGTGCATCCAGACACTGTTTTAATATTAGTTAATGTTTAACATCCCACAAAATATACTATTGTAGCTGTAAGTTAAAGGTTCACTACACAATGACAGTTACATACAGAAGCTTTAAATGAAAGAATAAAATGAGCCTGATGACTGATCGATGAATGTGACCATAACTTTCTGATAGCTGATCAATCAATTTCTCACCCTCAGCCTTAAACGAACCCACTATAGACTACGGCTTCCAGAGGTTACAGAAGGTCATCCCTCGTCACCCCGGAGACCCCGAGAGACTGCCCAAGGTACCACACACACACACAGACACACACACACACACACACACACACACACACACACACACACACACACACACACACACACAGACACAGACACACACACACACACACACACACACACACACACACACACACACACACACACACACACACACACACACACACACACACACACACACACACACACACACACACACACACACACACACACACACACACACACACACAGACACACACACACACACACACACACACACACACACACACACACACACACACACACACACACACACACACACACACACACACACACACACACACACACACACACACACACACAGACACACACACACACACACACACACACACACACACACACACACACACACACACACACACACACACACACACACACACACACACACACACACACACACACACACACACACACACACACACACTCAAACAATCGTTTTAAACAAACACAGACACAATCACTGATTATTGTTGCTGTTTTTTCCATCAGTCTGTGCTCTGGTTGGCTGCTCAGAGAGCTGATAATCATCTACACACACACACACACACACACACACACACACACACACACACACACATTTCTGGGTCAAAATGTTTCTCTGAACCATCAAACAATCAGACGTCGGTTTCTTTCACTGATGGAAATCTACAACGTACAATCATATTTTACAGCAGTGGTTCCCAACCTGAGGTCACGGCCCACCGCGGGGTCACAGGCGGAGGTTGTGTTGGGCCCGATCTGATGAACAGAACTGTACTGAGGTACAACGAGCTGGCTAACCTATGGACCCCATGGATGTGTAAAGAGATCTGGGTCCTTGGTTCCCTTTGGGAGATGAGATTGATTTCTGTGGGTGACTTTATTTATTATTGATGAAAGGTTGAATTAATGTTGATTAATGGTAACATGCAGGTTGCCTGTGGAGTAACTGATGGTTGAGGTGAGGTACACTAGTGTCCGCTGTAACCAGCGTTAAGAAAGCTGCTCAGTGGAGCGTGGAGTCAGACACTTCCTGCTGTAAAGGAATAACCTGAATGAAAACACACTGAGCACTTCCTGTCCTGTTCCGTTAACCTGAATGTGGATAAATAATTGAATCTTATGGATCTTCTAGACTTTAAAAATGTTAGTCCACTGATTCTTTCACAATGCATTATGGGAAAAAGTCTGTTTGGGTCAGTGTGCATCACGTGACAGACGCCATCGCTGTAATTACACAGTTCAGCCGGCCCGGCGCTCTTCCTGGAGGGTTGGTGTACGCAGAACACAAAGGGGCGGGGCTTAGGACGGAATCATGCTCTGTTTCTGTACAGAACCTGAGAACCTGCAGCAAAAGAAAAATATATAGTTCTCTATCAGAATGTAAAGACCTGGACCTGGTCCTGGACCTGGACCTGGACCTGGTCCTGGACCTGGTCCTGGACCTGGTCCTGGATCAGTAGCTGGCGGTCTGACGCTATCTGCAGCAGAATCAATGAGACTGACAGTAAACCAGATCCGGACTGAAGGAGGTCTGTGAACTGACACGCTGTTAGCTACGTAATGAAAACCACCATCTTTAATAATTCATCTGCAGTGCTTTTATTCAATTACCCACGATGCCTTGTGCTCAGTGGAGCGACCACAGGAAGTCTAATAACTGGAAGTAATCCTCTGAACCTTTATTGATCCGCTGTTTACACTCTGAGGTCCTGGTGTCACAAACCTGGTTAAATCCTCGTGTCTACAAACAGGACACGATTGATCGCTGGAGCCTCGGTTCAGAAACAGAAACTGATCCTGGACCAGGTTCTAGACTGGATGATATTCAGTCGCAGCTTCAGCACTTTAATGGTTCTGGTTCTGGTTAGTGAAGTTGTACGTTGATGATATTGATCCGTCTGAAGGTCCCACTGCACTGGGAGGAGGAACAAAGACGTATTTTATTTAATGTTAGATATTAAATGTCTTTAATGTTGGACTATCCAACTAGAAGACTGTGACAGTACTATTGGTTGCACTGCTGCGAAGGTATCTGCACCCAGGTCTGTGGTACCTCCAGAAAGGCCTCATAGAGTCCCAGTGGTTGACTGGTAGAGCGTGTTGGTGCGCCCGCAGAGTGTGGGAAGCAGTTAGGGGTTTGGTGCCTTGCTCAAGGGCACCTCTGCAGTGCTCAGAATGAAAACAATGTCTGGCCCCGCCCCTATCCACAGGCTGGGCGCCGTGACATCATCCAACGGCTCTAAATCTGCTTTAAAGTCAGTTTTAGGTGTTAGAGTTGTTTCTATGTAAATGAACACACAGGAAAGAGCATTAAATTCAACAAACACACACACACACATATAAGAGATGATTGAATGAAAGGTAAACCAGTGTGTGTGTGTGTGTGAGTGTGTGTGTATAAAGCCCATTGGCAAACAGGGAGGTTGAAACAGTCAAATCAGTTAATCAGTGAGTGCAGCCATGTGGCAAGAAAGGAGATTGGCACACACACACACACACACACACACACACACACACACACACACACACACACACATTATCAGTCGTTCTCTTATCAGATTTATAAAAAGAAATCACTCTCTCTGTTTTTGCCGTTTTGGTGACACATGGTGTATTTCTGGTTGTTCACAGGAACTCATTTTCTGTCTCTGAGAGAGAAAAGAACTAATTAGAAGTTACGTCACAGCTGATTAAATCCGGAGCAACTGATTGGTTGTTGGTTTGTGTCAAAAAACAGTAATAAACTGTCAGCTTGGCACCAAGAAATACAGTCAAATAACAGAATATAACTTGTAAAATTACAGTCATTTCCTATAATTAAAATACAATTTTTGGCCTTAATTTAACATAAAATCTTTTTAATGTTTAATTAAAGATATTTACAGTGTAAACAATGATCTATAAATCCAGGTGAACTCTGCTATAATACAATAATCAGACTTACATTTACAGCAGAGTGCTGTTATTATTGGATTGTTATTATTTTAATCTGAATGTTAAAAGTTATAGAACTGTAATAAAAGTCATTATCTGTGAGATTACAGTAATTATTGCTTATTGTTTATATATTATATATATATATATTATACACTGATAAACAACATTTATTCAACTTCCATCATTATACAACATATCTGTCAGTTAACCAACTAATACATTAAAGTTACACAACTAATACTTTTTACTGTTAATGTCAGTAATTTTACACAATCTTATAAATTATTAACAGTATTAAACTGGAGTTTAACAGTTTAATCTATTAAATAAACAGTAAAAATAAATGATAGATTTCCAAATTAATTTTTATCTTTTATGTGAAAAAAGGACATTTTGTTTTACATAAGCAGTAATTTAATGATTATTTACTCTTACAGACTTTATTTATAAAATACATAAAAATCCTGTGAAATATTGTAAACTTACAGATTGTTTTTACAGTGTAGTGTCGGTGACATCAGTGTAAATTATTAAAGAAATAAAATAATATATGAATAATTAAAGATAATTCACCTTCCTGCTTCACAAAAACTGGAATCTTTCAGTTTATGACTTTTATTACATTTTTTGTGAAGCTCTTAGTAACGTAGATTTTTAAAGTTCTCTGAACATAAAAGTTCTTATTGATGTTAGCAGCCACGGAGGCTGCTGATTGGTTGCTGCAGGATGTCATGTGACCCAGGAGAAACCAATGAGTCTGAAGGTTTTTAATAAAGTGATGAGATAATTGATTAATCTTTAATTGTTGGGCCTGAGTGTCTTAAAGAATAACACAGAATAAAATTATGTTTCTTTGTCGTTGATGTCGGCATTAAATATCTTCCGTCTACCATCAGACAGATTTTATTATTTATTAACTTTGTTCTGATTGTATTTATTAACGACGTCGCGTTTATGAAGCATCATTTCCTGCTGCTGAAGGAGTGTGTGTGTGTGTGTGTGTGTGTGTGTGTGTGTGGGCTTTAAAGAGTAATTGGTTTCCTCCTCAGCGATGACATCCCAACCTACAGCTCTATCGCCGTGGTAACCCCGTTAATGTGTGTGTGTGAGTGTGTGTGGGAGAGAGAGGTGCTTGTCATCTCGCTGTGTAACAGTGAAACACTTGTAATAATAAGGCTTTCATTTGTCACTATAAACAGTGTGTGTGTGTGTGTGTGTGTGTGAATAAATCTGCTCTCACACTGTGACACACACTCCAACGTCGCTCTGCATAAACGAGCAGATTAAAGGCGATCGGAGGCTGAAAGCTACTTCACTGAAATGACTTCCTCTCAGCACACTCACACACTCAGTAACACACACACACTCACTCTCTCACACACACAGTAACACACACACACACACACACACTCTGATGTAATAATCAGCTCATACATTTGTCGGTAATGAAAGAATAAAAAGAGATAACAGCAGAGACAAAAGAAGAAACACAAAGTTAAAAGAGGAAATAACTGATAGAAAAGAGCAAACAGACAGTTAGAAATGTTTGTACACATTGATATATATTTTATTATATTATGTTATATATGTATTATATTATATATATATTAAATTATATTATGTTATATATATATATTATATTATATTATGTTATATATGTATTATATTATATATATATTAAATTATATTATGTTATATATATTATATTATGTTATATATATATATTATATTATATTATGTTATATATGTATTATATTATATATATATTAATTTATATTATGTTATATATATTATATTATGTTATATATATATATTATATTATATTATGTTATATATGTATTATATTATATATATATTAAATTATATTATGTTATATATATTATATTATGTTATATATATATATTATATTATATTATGTTATATATATATTATAAACCTGTGAGTTCTGTGATGATTGGTCCAACAGTTGTTGACTGATGTCTGTTTATGTGCGGAGCCACGCCCCCTCTGAAGCTGATTGGTCAATATGTTGAAAACTAAATAAGAAATCAATAAGCTTTATGCAACTATTGATTAGCTCCGTCCGATGATGATCCACAGAAAGTTTGGTAGCAGTCGGACCGACGGTTCAGGAGGAGACGGCTGGAAATGTCAGAAATTAGTCGAACACATTGAATGAGAAACAAACACATTTAGTTGTGATTGAACGGCGATAAGGTTTTAATTCCTCCAAACAGACGCTGCTAAAGCGCCACGATACACAGATCAATAGTTTGAGCTTAGAACGGGATGAGTCTTTGTAATTTATTGGCATTAATAATTGAACCACCATTACGGCGTGAGGGGGTGTGGCCTTAAGTGATTGGATGTTTGGGCTTTAATCACAGCGCCACCGTCTGGTCGACTCACACTCATCATTTCCTGTTATTGGACCAGGTTTCATGTTTCTACATCTTTCCAGATAATAATAATAATAATAATAATAATAATAATAATAATAATAATAATAATAATAATAAAAAGAAGACAAAATAAAAAAGGGAGTAAAGGAAATAAAAGGAAACCATTGAGGGGAAGAGGAGGAGAAAGAGGAGATGGATGCAGAGTGATGGAGGGCTGAGGGGGCGGGGTTAATTGAAGAAGTTTGTAATGAAAAGCAGCAGATTAACTGAGAGCGTGTTTAATTAAGATAAAGACTCAACGAAGCATTGTTCTGTTCTGCTGCCTGATTACACACACACAGGCAGTGTGTGCGTGTGTGTGTGTGTGTGTGTGTGTGGTGGTGTGTGTGTGTGCGCTCTGTGAAGTGTAACTGAGCTCTGATTAGAATAAACACTGTTTAATAGTATCAGCTCCATCAGGTCAACAACCACACACACACTGAAGGTTTCCATCCTCGTTTATTCACATTCTCACTGCGGCAGTAAGAGCCCAGAATAACTGATTTAATATCAATAAACGGATCAATACGATGCTGAAACAACGACATCATGATGGAGATTTATGTAAAGTCTGAATTCAGACTGTCTGAAGACGAAGAGCACACAGCTTTTAAAATGCTTGTTTTCTGAATGGAGTTTGGTTGATCGGGGCTATGCTAACAGACACACAGACTGTGGTCTTATTGTGGCGGGTTCTGTACTTCCTGTTTGATGAGCTCCTCTCTCTGTTGCAGGAAGTGCTGTTGAAGAGGGCAGCCGACCTGGTGGAGGCGCTCTACGGGATGCCTCACAACAACCAGGTAACCTGCACCGCTGCCTGACTGCTACAGTCTGTTCTTCCCAAAGCAAACACAACAGAACCCTGTACAGTACGAACCGTGTACAGTGCGACAGAACCCTGTACAGTGAGACAGAACCCTGTACAGTGAGACAGAACCCTGTACAGTGGACAAAGACCTATACAGTGGACAGAACCCTATACAGTGTGACAGAACCTTATACAGTGTGACAGAACCCTGTACAGTGAGACAGAACCCTGTACAGTGTGACAGAACCTTATACAGTGTGACAGAACCTTATACAGTGTGACAGAACCCTGTACAGTGTGACAGAACCCTATACAGTGTGACAGAACCCTGTACAGTGCGACAGAACCCTATACAGTGTGACAGAACCTTATACAGTGTGACAGAACCCTATTCAGTGCGACAGAACCCTATACAGTGCGAACCCTATACAGTGAGACAGAACCCTGTACAGTGCGAACCCTATACAGTGTGACAGAACCCTGTACAGTGCAAACCCTATACAGTGTGACAGAACCCTGTACAGTGTGACAGAACCTTATACAGTGTGACAGAACCCTGTACAGTGAGACAGAACCCTATACAGTGTGACAGAACCTTATACAGTGAGACAGAACCTTATACAGTGCGACAGAACCCTGTACAGTGCGAACCCTATACAGTGTGACAGAACCCTGTACAGTGTGACAGAACCCTGTACAGTGTGAACCCTATACAGTGTGACAGAACCCTGTACAGTGTGACAGAACCCTGTACAGTGCGAACCCTATACAGTGTGACAGAACCCTGTACAGTGTGACAGAACCTCTGTCCTCTGCCTTCTGAGAGCGCAGCCTGAGCCAAAAAGCTGAGACTCACTGAGACTTTTAAGGGGGCGTGGTTTCTGAAGAAAATAAGTATGATGGACTTTAATCACTGACTCAGACTGGCTTTAGTTCACTTGAGTTCTCACACAGATGCTGTTTGTTTTCTTGTTAGGACATTTTCCCATGATGCTCAGCAAACAGGACGCCCCTCCCCTCCTCCTCCTCCTCCTCCTCCTCCTCCTCCAGGTTTATGACTCCTGAAACACTGAAACACTTTATATTCACTCCTCCATCCTCCTCCTCCGACACGCTGCTCAACCCGAGTTAATCACCCCAAAACACACACACACACACACACACACACACACACACACCCTCACACACACACACACACACCCTCACACACACACACACACACACACACACACACACTGTATTGTAGTGACAGAATAACCTTGAACAGAGGTTGTAAACGAATGTAAATCCAACTGTAATAATAAAAACAGCACCTGTGTGTGTGAGAGTGTGAGAGTGTGTGAGAGTGTGTTTAAGGTCACATGACGTCTTACATCATACATGTGTAACAACATGAAACAGGCTGAGTGTGTGTGTTTAATGTGAGTCACTGACATGAATCAACTTTAACCTGAACAGTGAAACTACACGCTTTGAGAACTCGCTGTTGCAGCCTGGAAAACCTGGAAAACCTGGAAAACCCAGTCACACAAACACAAACTAATACTCATTCACTCATTCACTCACATTCATACACACAGCATCATCTGGGCTTCAGTAAAACGTCTGCTGGTGGCGAGGTCACTCCTGAACTTTAATAAACACGCTCAACTAACTGACTGACACTGACATAATAAAGTAGAATTTCTGGTTCTGTGTGCAGGAGATCATCCTGAAGCGAGCGGCCGACATCGCTGAGGCTCTCTACAGCGTCCCCCGGAACCACAACCAGATCCCATCGCTAGGCAACACCGCCTCCCA